GCTTGGCGCCTGTGGCTCAAGTGGCTAAGGCGCTGGCCACATACACCTGAGGTGGTGGGTTTGAATCCAGCCTGGCCCGCCAAACAACAATGATTGCTGCAACCGAAAAAAAATAGCCGGGTATTGTGGCGGGTGCCTGTGGTCCCAGCTACTTGGGTGGCTGAGGCAGGAGACTCTCTTGAGCCCAGGAATTGGAGGTTGCTGTGAGCTATGCCACGGTACTCTACCAAGGGAGATACTACCAAGGGGGATAGCTTGAGGTGCTGTCTCAAAAAAACAAACAACAACAACAAAAAAAAACACAAACCCTGTCTCTATTAAAAACAGAAAAACTAGCTAGCCATGGTGGCACATGCCTCTAGTCCCAGCTACTTGGGAGGGTGAGGCAAGAGGATTGCTTGAACCCTGGAATTTGAGGTTGCTGTGAGTTATGATGACACCACATCACTCTATCCAGGGTGACTGAGTGAGACTCTTATCTCAATAAATAATTTTTTAAAAAAGTAAATAAATAAAAAGTTTCTCAGAAGTGCATTAATGTACATAGTTACCATTCAATAATAAAAAAAAAAGTTTCTGCCTCCTAGGTAGAAGAGGGAGGAAGGACCAATAAGATGAAGTTGGAAAGTTCTCATACCATATATATATATATTTTTTTCCTGCTTCAGGTTTATTTGTACAAATAGCACAGGAGGACTCCAGTCCCATATAGACAGCAGCCTAGAGTAAGGTGACCAGATTTTAACATTGGTAGAGTGGGACACCATTGGGGGGGGAGCGGGGCAGGGCAGGGCCTGACAACAATGCAAACTTTGATAAGCAGTTCTTGATAATCACTTCTCAACAATTATTTGTTATTATTACAGTTTAAGATTATAAAATTAACAAAAATAATATAAAACTCATATCCTGGCGAAATAGCCACATGGCAGCCAAAAACTGTATATTCACTTCCTGTTCTCCCTCCTGTTCCCTAGCTTGTCCTACATTCTTTTTTTTTTTTGAGACAGAGCCTCAAGCTATCCCCCTGGGTAGAATGCTGTGGCATCACAGCTCACAGCAACCTCCAACTCCTGGGCTCAAGCGAGTCTCCACCTCCGCCTCCCAAGTAGCTGGGAC